GGCTGGCGGGGGGCGGGAAAGGGGAGCGGCGCTGCGGGGAGGGCTGTACGCGGCCTGTGCTGCTGGGGCGGGAGCTGCGGGACGCGGGCTCTGGGACGGTGAGCGGTAGCACCGCTTCTTGCATCGCGGGTGAGACGCGGTACAGCTGGGGGAGGCTGAGAATCAGAATCGTACAGTGGTTTGGGTTGGAAGGGACTTTAAAGATCGTCTAGTTCCAGCCCCTCTGTCCTTGACCTTCCACATCCAACCTGGCCTTAAACACTTCAGAGATGCTGGGGCAGCCACAGCTTCCCTGGGCGACCTGTGCCAGCATCTCACTAGTCCTCATAGTGGGGAATTTCTTCCTCATGTCTAACATAAATTTCCCCTCTTCCAGTTTAAAAGCATTACCCCTTGCTCTCTTGCTACAAGCCCTCATAAAAAGCCCCTCCCCAGCTTTCCTGTAGCCCCTTCAGGTACTGGAAGGAGCTATAAGGTCTCCCTGGAGCCTTCTCTTCTCCAGGTCAAACAGCCCCAACTCCCTCAGCCTGTCTTCATAGCAGAGGTGCTCCAGCCCTCTGATCATCTTTGTGGCCCTTCTCTGGACTCGCTCCAACAACTCCGTGTTCTTTTTATGTCGGGGGCTCCAGAGCTGGACACAGAACTCCAGGTGGGCTCTTGACGACAGCCAAGTCAAGGGAAGTCATCACCTCTCTTGACCTGCTGGTCATGCATTCTTTTGATGATGAAAGCGTTGCTTTCTGGGCTGCAGGCGCACATGTCCTTCTTGTGTTGAGCTTTTCATCAACCAACAGCCCCAAGTCCTTCTCCTCAGGACTGTTCTCAATCCATTCTCTGCCCAGCCTATATTTGTGCTTGAGATTGTCCTGACCCAGTGTGTGTGGGGGTCCATCTTCTCTCCCCCCACATAAGACTAAATAAAATGCCTTTCAAGCCAGCAAAGCAAGAGTGGCATCGTTTAGCTGATTTAGCCAAGGACAGACTTGAGCAGGCCCCTTGCTCTACCAGATAAGTCCACAGCAAGAGAAGAACATAAGGGTTATAGTAACTGGCAGAAAAAAATGGATAGTAAGTTAAAGACACCCAGGTGCAGGACCTTGCTCTTGGCCTCGTTGAACTCCATGAGGTTGTTGGCACAGGCACATCTCAAGAAGAGTCAAGAACGATCAGCTGCTGCGCAGTGTGCAGCCAAGTAAGTTAAGGTTCTTCGGCCTGGTAAAAGCAAAACCAGAAAAACCCAAACTAAATTTAGGCTGGTATTAAGGACAGTAAGTCAGAGCCTGTCTTTACTGCCTCTCCCAACACAGTAAATGTGAAGCATGGGATCACGCCAGCAAGAGTCAGATGCACAACAGATAAAATGAATGATTCTTTGTGCAAGACCCAGCAGTGAAATTCCTTACCACAGAATGTTCTGGATGATGGAAGCTTTCATGAGTTCAAAGGGAGACTGAACAACTTAACAGAAATGCAGAGAGGCTTGTCAAATATTTAGAAACCACCAATAGCATTAATGAAGATAGAGTAACTACATGTTGATAGCATAATTCATTAACAAGCTGGAAATGAACAAAGACTAGATAATTAAAATGTACTGCATGCAGCAGATTGTCTTCACATGTGCAGCTCTAGGAATCGGTGGCTTAAGGAGAAATGCCAAGTCGATTTTGAGGTGAAACAGTGAAATTATTTAAGGAAGCAATTTGGCTTTGGGCATGGGGTGTTCTTACGTTTGCTTTACCAATAAACAAACTATTTATGATGGGGCATCAATTGCCTTTATCTTCTGATTGAATAAACGGTACTAGGACAGCTGTATTCCCTGAAAGGTGAAGGAGAAAAGGTGGTGGATAAAGGGTGAAAGTCTTCAGAGATTAAAGATGTGATCTTGGCGTTGTTTCCGACTGAAGAACTGTATCATTAAGAGCATAACAGTTCCTTACAAAACTCTTAAATCTGCAGGTGTGATAGGGTGAGTAAAAAGTAACAAACCATCACCAGATGTGTGCTGGTGTGATTAGTGGGAGAAACAGACTCTAAAAGGAGCCTGAAGCGATGTGTACACCAGCACTTGGCAGGTTGGATTAAATAAAGAAAACTTAATTAAAAATTTAAAATGTTGCTAATTATTTCAAGCAGTTTGAAATGGGCACAACTTGTTGCTAAACCAGACTAATGATAACTCCTCACTGAAGTGAACTCTTCTGTAATGCATAGGGTAATAAGCATGTGGAATTTTCCTGTAAAAATGTGTTGATTTAATGTTCCAAACATTGGCAAGTCAGATTTTGGGCAGTTGGCAGAATACAAAAATGAACCTGGGAACCATAACACTGGTCATAGAAAGTGAAATGCATCTTGTGGGACTTAGGATGTTAATAAAAACAAACCATTTGTTCATGTTTTGACTCTTAACTCTTGGAAATTTGTAATGTGTCATTCCTTCATTTTTGCCACGGGTTGTCACTAAAAACACACTGTGAGCTGTCACTCTTTTTCAAGTTGAAAACTGTGGGCTTAATCAAGGCAACTCTCCATTCCTTTAACTAGAAACAGAATTTACTAAAAATGTAAAGTGTGCAGAATACAAGGTGGACAGGTGCCAAATGCCATGTCCTGCAAGGACAAAAATGCCATGGCTTTGTTTCTCCTGTGCTGAAGGATAAAATAGACATGCAGCAATAAATACCTTTCCTGAAAAGTGACTATTGTTGAGAAAAGCTCAGCAAAATTAACTCAACTAGAAACATTCTGGCAATTATAAAAAAGAATTAATTCATAAACAGGATTATGTTACATGATAAGCCAGCAGAAGATCCTGAGATGCACACATAAAATGTCAGAATTTAGAGTTACCTTGTGGTAGTGTTGGAAAATAACTTAGAAATTTAGGCTGATGTGGCTATTTTGCGTAAGATGTACTCTGTAAATATACAAGTTAAAATTGTAGTAGGAAGGCACACAATTAGTCTCACAGCTAGCACTGAAAAAGGACATCATACAATAACCAGGCCTCGAAGAGGACAATTAATCAAGAGTTTTAAAGAGTGTCTCATGTAAATCACCAACCTGGCAGAGAAGACTGGAGATCTGAAGAGATAATTGGACCTAAGGAATGCGGGAAGCGATAAAGAACCAACAAAAGAAAGATTGCTGAACCAGGCGTGTGCAGTTGGAGCTACAGAACCTGCGATACTGTGCTCTTCAGGTGAACTTAGCTCATTATAATGCCATTACAATACTAAAAGTCACAGCCCCAGGTCAAAAAGGCCCGTGCCCAAGTGAAGACCCTTCCCCTGAGCATGTGTGACAGTAGAAATAGTGATCTGACCATACTAGAACCACAGGTACGTCACTAACCAATCACTACAAGGAGGATGGACTTGGACACTTACAAACTCTACAGGTTTCTGTATAAATATGTCATGAAAAATATCATTTGGTGTTCTGGAAGAGAGCACAGGAGATGAGGGGGTCCCCTTCCCAGACCTGGGGGCCGCCGGGGCAGCGGGAGGTTTTCCCGCCCC